CAAAAGACCGGACTTGACTATGTCCCTTAGTGAAAATGTTGTACTTTGCTGTTAGACTGTATCTATGTATCAGGTACTCTCTCTCTCTCTTTCTGGTTCTGTTTCACACATAAAAAAACACCGGCCAGCAGAGACTTGCAAGGTAACGCCATGCCATGCCTCACCATGCTGTGTGCTGCCCCGCGGCGCTGCGCTCCATTCGATGAGACAGCATGAAGCACAAATCAATATGGATTAAAACTCTGTAAGGAGCTATGCACTGACTCCTCCTCACTGCGTATGGAAGGGAAACATGTGCACTTATTATGCCGGATTGCAGATTTTTCCTCTTTTAAATCAGAGAGGAAAAGTGAAAAGTGGGAGATTAACTAGCTCTGGACTAAGGGACATTGTGACACTGAAGAAAAACGCCTGTGCCACGCCTGCCTCTTGCCACCCATAGGGCATATCCATCAAGCTGCTTAGAGCGCTGCATGGTGGGGGGCTGGAATCAGCACCTCATTCCACCTGCCACACCTAGACAGAGAGTCACACATGAGCACATGCTATTGCACACACACACAGGGACAGGCCTGGCGGTAGGCCTCAACTCCCATGGCAGTGGTGGGCTTCCCACAGTGCTCTACAGGGTGCCAGAGATTATCCTGGTGCTTGCAGACAGTCACAGAATGTTAATCCTCAGCCATCTCTTCTACTGTACTGTTAAATCTGGATCTTCCTCTCAATCGCTCCTCCTCCTTAGCTCCCCCCTTTCTTTATCCGTCACTCTCCATCCACTCTTGCAATCCCCTAAAATCTCCACCACATTCTCAGCTCCCTCATCTGCTTTTAACTCCATCCTTTCCTCTCCTAAAATCTCTTGATCCCTGTTTCCTACTCAAAAGCGACAAGGCCTCATCCCCATTCTCTCTTATCCTTTCTTTCCACTCTCGGCCCAGCCCTCGCTATCAGCCCCGCATTGATCTTCTCATCCCCAAGAAAACAAAACACCAATCAGCCTGTCATAATCACTCTGCTGGAGGAGGAAGCGCTGAACGCCAAGCACAGCTGCTACATGTTGATGTGGAGACAGTGGAAAAGCTAACAGGGCGGCAAAGGGTAGTTGAGTTTGTTGAACGTGCTGGATGCATTCTATTTTTAAAATATGTTTAAAAAAAAGGAATATGAAGGTTTATTAACTACACTGTTGATACCATTCTGTTAATGATGATACTGATTCTCATTTTTTTTATTTTATTTGTATGCTGGAACAATAAAGTGACAGCTGCTGGAACCATTCCTACTAAAAATTACAAAAAACAACCTCTGAATGATATCTGGTCTCCCACAGCTTTCCTCCGCTATTCACTCTGATTTGCTCTCATAAAAATTGCGCTCTACTGCTCATACTTTTTTTAATACTTGTCCCACAGGATGTTTCTTCAGGACACCATGGCTGCTAACTTCCAAACAATAAATGCAGTTTGTGATCTGTCAGCAGTCTCCAGACTGTTACCCCTGTCATACTGAGCTTTGTTGTCATGCAAAACACATGGATTGCAAACTTTATGTCTTCACATACTCAGCATCTTTCCACCACAGGAGATCTGGCAGATCCAATAAATATCCCGCTGAAAGGTTTGCTGTGATGCATTTAGAACTTACATTAACCACTTGAACCGTATGCTTTCCCGATAAATAGCTTCAAAGTTTATTTAAATCACATTTAAATTTAGTGAAATGTCTTCTTCATGCCATTAATTGGAAATGTTTTGGGACTATACAGTTTTAGTTAACATATACAAATTAATAAATATGATTTTATTTCATTGACTCAAATGACTCAGCCCTTACTGGCTTTCACATACTATAAAAGCCTTTCTGTAAGCTTAATACTAAACAGAAGACACTATACAAAAGCAAAACAGCATTGTAGAATTCAGTTTCTTTCCTCCATACAATATTTCTAAATCAATAAGGTTGTCCATTACAGCTCCAGGTGCCATATATCATCTATACAAAATGGTATCTGTGGAATTTCAGTTGGAATTCATTGTGTTGAGCAAACAAACACGAATGCTCAAAATAAATACCCACACACTGCTTCTTTCATTCATAATACTTAATTCCTCTTTCATTTCGTATTGTGAATGTCTCTGACAACATTTCAACCAATGGTGGTATTCATCAATTCTATAACATCTTTTGTGTATTGCCAGTGCTTGATTCTCCTCTCTGAGCTCTCATGTATTATGAAACTATTCAACAAACAAGTTACATGATACAGTGATGTCTCCAGGCAAAACACAGCATCAGAAATACACTAAAGATGTTGTATTATTTTGTGTGCATGAGTAGCATTTTTTGAATACTATGTTGGTGGTTTAGGATGTTTTGTTGCCTTTCAGTTGTATCTGACAACCTGCCAGCTTTCTTATATATTTAGAATCAAAGGATCTGAATATTGGGCTAATTTTCTTGCATCTGTTTTTTGTATCAGTAGATAACAAATGTTTAAACAAGACTAAGAGTTTACATAGTGGCTCTATGTTAACGTGGCCCATAATGTCATTTCGGATGCGAAGCAGGTAACCAACCAACCAACATGTCCATCACTAGAGTGGGGCTAAACAAAGGTTAGCTATCGAACAATTAAAAAAAGTCTAATATGCATTAATAAACCGGGTTCATATAGGTTATACATTTGAATACAGGTGGCACAGCCAGATATAAACCACTTAATGAGTCTAACAAAGAAAAACCTGCACTGTCTGAACTTTATGTTGTAATATATACAAGCAAGCTAAATGCAAACATATAAGTAATAGACTACTGGGATAGGCTTCACTTCAAAAACATTTATATTTCTGATGGCAAAAGCTGTATAAGAGTTATAATAATGGCCAGTTAATGTGGCAGTAATGGCTTTTCTTTGCATGTATGTATAGCACCAACACTATTGCCTATCTGCCAGTTCAGAAGATTGATGATGGTGTAGCCTGATGTCCTCTACAGTCACCAGTGGGTTGTATATCATTCCCTGGACAGGTGACATGTGACTTAGACTTCTGTATGAATGTTAGACAGTAATGTTTGCATCATATTCTGTTATTTGGTAAATGCTGTCATTGAGAAATATGCATTACGTTAGTTACTTTATATTAAAAGTAAATAATTATTTAGTTTACTTAGTTTTGAATTCAAGAAGAAAGAAAAATGAATGACAATAATATTTAATTCTGTATGCTATTTCTTACTTCTTATAATACCTTAGTATTCCTTATTTCAATATTGAAATAAAACTTTTTCACTACATTTTGAAACGTAGTGATGTCAGCCAGGGTAGCTCTAGCTGGAAATTGAATGCTAGAGCTAAAACCTTAAAATGAATACCAAAAATGAAATACTGCTTTAATAATTTCAGAAGTGCTGGTAAGAAAATGGAAGTTTTTGATTTGTGCAGTTCTAAAGCTTTGGCTATTGATAATACTGTATCTGCTATATCAGTATCAGTGATGAAGTGTCAGTTTCATTGTCTGTAACAAATCCTAAGTAAAATATTTTTTCTGGATTGAGTGTCTTTTATCTAAAGCTTTATCTAAAATTAATTTATATTGCTTGTTGAAGGAAATGCATCCGAATATACTAAGGGTAAAGATGTTGTCCTTTCCAGTTATCTTCTCTATGGTAAATAAAATATATTTCAAGACTTTCATTTCCGAGGAAGTTGTGAATATTTACTCACCAGAAACCAAGGAAACTGTGCACAGCAAATATATTTCTGACGTGTTTCCACAGACAGAAAGTAATGAAATAAGGCATAGAGGGAAAATTAACATCAGTAAATATCAGCTGTAATAACCTTGCCCTTATATAAGTATTCTAATTTAACCAGAAGAGCAAAAGTTTGAATTTATATTAACAGCAATTTAGCTCAAAAGTGTCAGTGTCATTAAGCTTGATTATTCATATGCGATCCATCTGTAAATCAGAACAAAGGAAGCAGTTTTTAAGCTTCAAATGTATCTATAACACTATCTATACATGTATGTGTGAGTTCACCTACTGTAAATGTGTGTTTCTACAACTATGTTCTGTACTACTTGAATTCACCTCTATCTATTCAAAAGTGCTTCAGAAGATTAACCTTTACATGATCCCTCGCAGACAACCTGTGCTCTGTTATCTCCTCAGTTCTTTGCTGCCATGTCCATGAATGTCTTACTTCCTTTCTATTCATGTCAAGGTTGTGACCTAAAGTATTAAATCTAACAAACCATATGGCACAAAAAATAACCTTCACCTGCAAACATACACAAAGGTTTATTTTCCTTCTTTTCTACTACACGCTCTACTCCCATTCACACACGCGCTCTAATGCTACTAATGAAAACAGATGAAAACTCCACAGCCCAATAACACAAACATTAACACTAATTCACGCTCATAGAGACAAACAATCTCAGAGAGTAAATACGTCTGACTTTCCGATAGTGGAGGAGGAAAAAAAGAGCACCCTCTGGGAAATTTTCTCTGATCAAGTGCAAAGAGATTAACCAGTTGGATGTGTGCTAATGAACAGGAGATCATAATGGAAGGAGCTCGTAAATGTAGATGAGGCATGTGAAAAAGAACAATGGCTTCGCCTTGTATCAGATGAAACACAAGAGCAGTCTACAGAAACCAATTACTTTACTGTCCTTTTCTCCACCTAATGCCAATATCCTGACAACTTTTAACAATGGACTGAAGAAAATATAATGTTTTGATTGTAGACATGAGAATATTACAACAATTACAGTAATATGTGCAATCATATATTCAGAAAGAGCGAGCCTTTGAACCGACTCGGTTAATGTTGGACTCTCTCACCTGGAGCCCGGTTAGAAGCTATTGCACTGTGCGCAGAAGCCTCTTTCATAAAACCATCAACTTATGGACAAAACTGTAAATCACACACAGACCAATACAGCAAAGGTCACAAAAGCACATCAAACACAATCACATACAAGCAGATAGGCCTATGGTGGGCTGTGTAATCTAAGAGAGGCCACAGTCAGACGTGACTTACTGATTACATAGTCTCCAAATGGATCCTCATCTTCCTCATCATCTAGGTAAGCTGGAAGGGGAAGGAATTTAGGAAAGAAAGAAAAAGCAGGAGAAAAGAAACAAAAAGAAAAACATTATGACAAATGAAGAAAGAAAGCATACGAGTAAAAAAACAACAACAAACCAAAACAAAACAGAAACTGGACAAGAAAAGCACAAAAAAGTAAAACTAACCTAAAGTTGATACAAGATATGGTTAAAAAAACAAAAACAAAAACAAAGTGAATGGGTCCTCAATCTGATACCTCCAGCCTTCATTAGGAAGCCAAGCACTGACCATTAAACTACAAAAGTAGATTCAACACCATGCAGAGGAAAATATGATCACTCATAATTGGCTGGAGAATTCTCAATTTGCTCTCAGTGCTCCTCTCCCTCTCTCCCTCTCTCTCTTTCCTCTCTCTTTCTGGCAGGTCTGAAGATGGCATGAGAGGCCATTACGGCTAACTAAATTCCCTATTAGGGCAGCAGCATAGTCGTCAGCAAGTTACAAGTCCGACGGCAATGATATCACCGCTCCTGTGACTCTCTTTTACCTGATAATAATACTGTAAGTACGGGTGGGCCCTCACTGCAGATGCACGTACTGCCCGCTCGCAACAAGCATACACAATAACACATTTCTGGAATGCCTTTATTGTCGGCTTCATGTGAAAATCCTTCCCTCATCTCTCCCTTACCATTTATTCATCGTTTATGTTTTTCTCTTCTTCTTCTTCTTTTTCTCTTCTCTCTATCCCTCCAGCCTCCCTCCCTTTAATGTGAGTTAGCATCCATCTACTGTGATCAATATCCCAGGGCTTTTATTAAACAGTGCTCTTATGCATCTTTGTGTGTGTGTGTGTGTGTGTGTGTGTGTGTGTGTACGTGTACGTGTGTGTGCACCTGCCTTCCTGTGTGCGTCTGTCTTTGGGTGTGTGTGTATTATCTTCACTTCAATATCAGCTCTGGTCCAACAATGTCTTTATTGAGTCAGAGATACACAAACAGGGTTGTGAATGTTTATTTTTTTATTCATTACTGCGTTTGTGCAAGTGTGTGAGCATGTATGAGTGCCGTGTTCAGTGTGTTGAATAGACCAATCTTTATTGATCCTGACTGCAGGGCATTTTTCAAACCCTAGGCTTAACCCAAAGACAGACACGTACAGATACACTCTGTGCGTGTAAGCGTGTGTGTCCATCACTACTTTGCTCATTCCAGCACGCGTTGCTCTCGCTGCATGAACAAAAAGTCCTTGAACCAGTGGGTGAAGTAAGGAGGCGTTCATGCACGCTAACACACACACACACACGCACACACTCACAGTCGTGTGTGTTTGTGAAAGCGAGCTGTCAGTGCTGCTCTCACACACCATTCATCACAAGCTACTAATTCTGTTAGACCATTGTCGAGCCTTTCGCACCCCACGTTGCTCTCTGAAAACTCAATCAGAGGCTAATGCCCCCAACCCTTCTAACACACACGCACACACACACACACAAGCTCTCACTCTCCATTTCTTACTCACACTCGCATGCACTCACACAGACCCTGAGGGGACAGCAGTGGTCTTGGGGGACCCCACCAGTCCAACTCTATAAGCGTTGCTTGAATTTGATAGACAGGAGCTGCATGGACCAGGTTACTGGTGTTGAGTGTGGCCACAGTAGGAAAAAAGGGTCTTACAATCACTGTGTGACATATAATTATAATCTGTATTCCAAAGTATAGAGCACATTTTATTCAAAATCTAAATAATCATAATTAAACATTATCTTAATTTACTTTGATTACAAGACGACCCTTTCAGCGCTCCACTTCTAAATATTCTCTAAAGTAAAAACACATCAGCTGAATTAAACGAGGGGGATTTGGTTTGATTTATGGGGGGATTTGTGTGGTACACTAAAAAAGAATAAAGAGGACAGTGCGGGTGCAGGCACTCTGGCACCTGTGCTCGTAGATTTGATTAGTTAATCAGGAATCACTTTGCCCAACACAGCTTTTATAAAGCATAATTACAGCTCCAGCTACCGAAATAAAATCTTTTGACAGCAGATGTTTAAAGAAGCATTTAAAAAGTTTTTCTGCTTTGTCAAAAAAATTTAGTTAACATAAAGTTTAAGCGACATAAACATAATAAAACAGATCATCTTCTAAGGGCAAAAATGAGGGGGACCAGTGAGGAAAACCAGGCAATTGAGCATGCCCAGACGTGGGGCAGGGTTAGGCAGAAAGGCCAGACTAAATTTAGCGCCACCTTTTCATTCTCTAATTACGAGATTAATACATCCTGTCACATACGTCACAATACTACCCTATGATTTATTATCCAGTCGACCAGATGGAGAGATTGGGCCAGAGAAGGAAGGAGGAGAGGGAGATTGTCTGAAAGCAGCTAATCAGCATGCATGTGTGATTGGGCCGAACCTCGACTGTGGAGTGTGCGGCCAGTGCGTGTCTGTGTTTATAAAGTCGGCTGTATGAGTAAAGCCAAGATTTATTGATGGAAAACAATGTTGAAGTTGAATTAAATTCCGCCTGTTTCCTTAACAGGCTGCTATTTAATAGCAGAGAGAACGCATGGACAATATGGACCCCCACACACACAAGCATGTGTAGAGCAGTGGACTATGGATTGTGGCCATAAAGTCTGCCCTGGGCTTCAGGTTTAAATCAATGTCAAAGCCTGATCTTATTTCATCTAATGCATGTTTTAATCATTCTCCCTCCTGATCAATGCAGTTTGGATGCGGCCATCAGGCACTGCTGTGGGAATTTACAAGCGCTCATATTCTCCTGCCTGTGTTTCCAGACGGACGTTTTACGAGGCAGTGCATAGTGTGACAGTAAATCTCTTCCTCCACTTCGCCAAAATGAAATCTCCCAGTGCTGCTCTCTATGCCCATATTTGTTTGTCTCACTGTGTTGCTTTTGCAAATGAAACTTGTATTGGCTCTGCCAAGTCAACGTTCTAGTCTCTTTATTTTAATAGTGTCTGGAAGGGGCAATAAAAGCAAAGTGTCTTTATTCAATATTCGACAATAAAGCTGGATGTAGGGAAACTTTGAAATCCCTTAGTTGCATTTAGGAAACTAATTTAAAAGGCTTTACATACTTGTCGGTAATTGGAATTTAGCAGTAAATGAAAAAAACAAATGAAAAAATTATTTCACAGAGGTTCAGTTTAGGAACTGATTTAACAGGTGCCAGAGGCCTGCAGAGGAAACTACAATACAGGTGAACCACATTTCTGGATGAATAACTTGTACACATGCGCACTGTAGTCAGGAGCCACTGCATATCTGCTGTTCTGTTGTTAATCTAGAAAGTTTTTTTCGGGTGTTTTGTTTAAAGTTTTTAAGTCAGTCTTTAAATGTATTCCTCAGTGTAGAACTACAACTGTTCTAATGCCACTCTATATTTCATATCCTTTCAACATATTTGTATCCATCTCTCTCTGTGTCTGATGCATGTACAGTACAGATACACACTCAGCCATGCATATAAGCATATGACAGTATTTTATATATATATTTATATCTTTGCAAGAGTTTGGCTAACAAAAACATATAGCTGTATTCAAACTTCTCGATACCAGTTATGTGAGTTCTAGTTGTTTACGTTAGGCGTACATGTGGTGCTAATTGTGTTGAGACTAGCAAAGGCACCAGGCACCGTGACTGACGACTGCTATCTATCCAAAGGATCACACTCTTTAATTTGTTATCGACTCAGGTTTTGTTTTGTTTGTTTCCCAGACATTTCAACTCCTGCAGATTTTAACATTTAAAAACAGTACACGCAGTTGGGCAATGCAAAATGGAATATTATGAAGTTCACTTGTGTTTCACTTATTATTAAACAAAAAATAGTCAAAAAGATAAAGATAAAAGATATGAGGCAAAAAAAGGTGAATTTATCCATCATTACTCTGCAGCCAGTTGCTCTGCTGACACAAAAAAACTAGCTTCTTAACATACGCACACACACATCTACACAAACACACCTAGACACACACCTAGACACACACACACACACACACACACACACACACACAAACACAAAGAGTACTTTCCCTGAGGTTTGTGATATCTGTCACCATTTCTCTGGGCGTTCTATTTTGGTAGTGAAATCTGCAATAGGGCACACGCGCACATTCATTCACATGTACGCTCCTGCCCTAAAGGGGAACCCTAGACCCTTAAACTGACACCTGTCAGTCACGCTGGCAAGCTGTACTGACAGGAGCATAACGAGGGATGGTGAGAGGCGCAGCACGAGCGAAGAGAAGACAGAAGAAGAAGCTTGAAAGATGAAGAAGAAAGGTGGGAGAGGAGGGAGATGAAGAGGAGGAGGAGAAGCAAGTGGAGGTGAGACTTCTGAAGCTTGTTAGAGACGCTGCGAGATGAGAGTGGTGCAGCTTTCTGTTTGGTGTTTTAGCACGTCACCGTCTTTTTGATTTGTTAGCATGTGTTTATGATGTTGTTTCTCTGTCTGCTTCTGTCAATCTCTATTATTAGACCCTCAGATCCTCCTCCTGTGGTTTTGACACTCCCGTTGCTCCTGTTTCACACTTCTACACACAAGTGCAGGGTTTGGGCTGATACACAGTCTCACACCCGTAGAACGACAAAATAGCATATAGAAAGACAACAGATTCAGTAACATACACAGACACACACTTGCAAATTCAGCACCCACACTGCTCGGGGCACACACGCTGGTAAGGTATGGTGGGAGTGAAATCTTTCCTCTGGGTGCTTTCAGGTGTGACATACCTTCAGTATCAGATGTTCTGTTTAGAGGTAGATGCGAGAACGAACAGTGAGATCTCCTCATTCAGAGCGACTAAGTAACGAACAAATTGACTTGATCAGACACACGCACACACCTGGTCCTTTTATCAGGCTGCCACGCTGCCTCTGATCTCTTCATAGTGGCAGAGATAGCAATGCAGAAGCCTGATGTAAATCTCTGGTCTGTGAAACTATGAGACGAGCCTAAAGGTGTGAGCCACTGGTTCCTAACTCTGAATGCTTCTATAGAGGGCAAACCTTTGAAGTCTTGAATTGAATTGACTTTCATTTGACACATGTTCTGCATTATTATCAATATGAATTTTTCCAACATACAAGTGAATGTTTAGACCCCGTAGGAGCACAAAAATATCATATAAATTACACTTTTTCACAAAGTTTCTTTTTCTAAACTGAAAAACAACAACTTTTGATCTTGCCAACAATCAACACTCAGTGACATCATACTGCAGGCAAATGATTATCACAATATACTGCTGGATTAAGAAGCTAATTTTACAAGGTCTGGAAATGCCGGCGAAAGAGCGCTCTATGGCGTTCTCCTGGCCCTGAGACAGAGAGAGTGAGAGCGGTGTCTGCGGCTGATATCTGTGGCTGCAAGATTAGCTTGGTAATTAACCACAAAGCAATTATCGGGTGATGGGATGAGAGGCGCGTCTCAGGGAAGGTGTTTCTTGACGTGTTTAATAGGTGTTGAGTAGTTTGATCAGTCGACAGAAGTTGTCTATGATTCGGAGGCCCACAGTCCAACAAAGGTTGATCCACAGCTGATATGTGTGGCTGCCGAGAATTCAATTAATTAGACTGTTGCTTTTCCTTCCATCCACTTTTCATTAACCTCCATTGACACCTCGACAAAACTTGTGCGCAGGTTTTACGACTGCGTCAGGATTAACAAGGAAATGGGAAGTTGGCAATAAACAAAATTGCCAAAGGATGGAGATTCCCTCTGGGAACATCATCACACTTGCATAAAGATTTAAAGAAAGGAAGCACTTGAAAAGTAAAGAATAGCTCATCTCTGACTGCATTTTTTTGAAGACTGACAGACCAGTGGTGAGATCTCAGCAGATAAGTGGGGTAAGAGGGTAGAGTTAGAGGGCTTTGGCTAAGTGCTATTGATGAAAATAAGGGTGGCTCTCTGGGGGGGGGGTCCAACCACTGTTCTTCAGATCAAAAACAGACTCAATCCATAAATCCAACTTGCAATTCATATAATGGCTGTCTGTTTGATAGGTGGTCTAAAGATTTTAACAATATCGACGAACATGTGTAAGATATACATTCTCACTCACAATTCCTTTAGAGATTGACTATCACACTATATCAGTCCAACGCATCCTCCCCATTTTGCTCTCAGTCCCTCATCGAGTCTTACTCACTCTCTTCCTCGTAAATCAATCGGCCTGTATTTTGATAAACTCATACCCTCTTGACCACATTTCCAAGACACCCTGGTCCTACCTGACTCGTCGTCAGACTTGTTGTCATTCTCCGAGTCGGTGAGGGTGAGGGCTGAGTTCTCGTGGCTGGACACTCCTGAGCTGCGGCGGGACTTTACTCTTCCCCGCCCGGCCCACAGCTGGATGGCTCGCTCTGGAGACAGCGGCCCCTCGGGGTCTGAGTCGGCATCAGAGCCTGCGCTGAGGGAGTACCCCCGCTGCAGGAGGCCCAGGTCGGGACAGTAGGGAACGGCAGCGGGGTGCGGAGGGGGAGTTGGCTCACATACTCCCAGCTCGGCCAGGGTGAAGTTACCCCCTGTGAGGGAGATAGGGAAGTTATATAGGTGGAGTGCGGAGAATAAGTGAAAGCAGTAAATGGAGACACTCACACAAACAAATGCTTGCACAAGCAAACGTACACGCATATCTAGCAAACAAACCCACAATCACACGCAGAGAAGCACACTAATTATGAAACTATGGAGGCGGAGGCTGAAAATTGGTCTTTGTTGTGGCAGGCAGGAGGGGGAGAGATGACGCAGCATGAATCAGGCACAAACTACAAACTAGCTGCTGGAAGGAATATGTACTGGCCTGCAGGCCTGTTAAGGCTGGCTTAGAAGGCCTGCCTCCCTTGCTTTACTGCTTCGCATTGGCATTCATGAGATGTTGATGTGAGATCAAAGAGCTGTTCACTTGAGACCTCTCAGACTGTAGTGGAGCTGCTTTTCTGCCTTCTGGGTTTGATCATCTCCCCACCTAGTTGCCATCACACGCTGGACCCCAGGCTCACTGAATATACTGCAGTCTGCTGCAGTACCGGCCCTGCTGCCTAACACTCTCCCCCTTAAGACAAACCAGCTCGTCACGTCCAAAATAAATATATAAAATTATCCAAATTAAAGCACATCAAAGGAGATCAATAAACAGTGCTGCAGCCCAATTAAATCCAAGCTGAGGAAAAAGCAATTAAGGAAAAAGGCATGCTCAACCAATTTATTCTCTATACTAATTAAAAGAGTATTGTGGATGCAATCGCTCACCATCAGCTGTTGGGGTAAAGGGATCGGGGGAAAAACAGTTGTGATTCACTTCATTAGCAGTTTGTGAGGGAGGGGAAAGGAAGAGGTGAGTGAAGAGAGGATGGCATTGTGGTGGCACACTGTATGAATCAATGTGCTGGGAATCACACAGCTGTGTGACTGGGTTAACTGTGACTCATCAGGCGTACGGACGCAATCAGCGAGAGAGGAATTAAACAGATGAAAATCGTCTGCTGGATCTTCACGGCTCCTCTTCACAGTCTCGCCGAAACTCAAGAGTTGTGCTGAAAGTAACGAGGAGTGGGAGGGCCTGAAAGGAAACTTAGCCGGGGAAGTGGTGAAAGGCTCTATACTTCTACTCAGACAAACAGATGGACTGGACTAGAGAGCAGAGGCAAGTGAATAACTCTACAGGTGGGTTCTGCTTCTACGCTACAGCTTGCCAAGCATTCAACCAGCTACGAAGGTACCCAAGAACTGCAAGACATCAGGGAATATTACCATTCCTTGTCTTCTTTGCTTCTTTGTCTTTTCCTCCCACTTTTCATAAAGGATGAAAAAGGAACCTTCTTTACTATACATAACACGAGGGACTTTTACAATCTGTTGGTAATTTACACTACAATACTACTGTATATGCAGGATCTAAGTCTAGTCATTAAACCCATACCTGAGATGAAGTATCGTAGGAGGACGGGAGAGAACTCCAGGAGGCCTGAGAGAGTAGAGCACATGTGTTCTTTAACATGAGTCAGCAAATCATCCTGAACTGAACTGAACTGCTCAGCAGAAAAGTGTCTACTCCACAATCACAGTCAGGATTAGTCTTTATGCAAATCATCCCATCCAACCACAATGACAGTAATTGGGCCACAAACACATCTTCTAGTCTAAACAAACGCTACATGGAAAGCAGTCACACAACATGAAAGTGTGCGTGCATGAAAGTGTGTGCTTGCCACACATATCTAATGTTACATCCCACAGGCCACCGCTCTGTACAATTAACATCCCATAACCAGTGATTACACATGCAAAATCCAATCACTCCTTATCACCATCAGCAGTACACACAGCCCAATGCTGTAGCAATCTACATGTACTCAAAGAAAGATGGATTGGTGCTACGGGTTTAGCAGACATGAAAATCTATCTCAGTTATTTTATAAATAGAAAGCCAATTGCATGTTTGTTACATGATATTATGACAGATGTGGGGGCAAATGTGGTGCTGCTTTCTAGCAAATCAATGGCTTTCTCTTGGTACGATACTATCACTGTCATTGTCGCGCTCATAATGCACATTAATGTGTGTTTTGAACCATGAGAAGCCTCAGCAGCTCCCTTGGTCTGCACACATCTGTGTCTGTTCACTGCACATGTATGTTTGTCGGTCAGTTGGTCTAGGTATTCAGTATAAATGTATTGCATATCTGACTGTGCTATAGGGTGAAAAGCAGCACAATCTCGAATGCTTCCCTGAATGCTTCTCACCAATGGAGGGGAAAAGAGACAGAGGCAAGACAGAGCAGAAGGAAGGAAGGGAGTGTAACAAGATGGATTTGAAAAGAAACACGTGATAATGAGTGAGTATGAGAGAAAGCAAAAGAGAACAAAAGAATACAGGGTTACAGAATACAAGATGTACAATTAAATTCAATCAAAAAATAGGGCTTAAATAGCTGAACTAAAAAGTGGGTTAACAATTTGTATGTACAATGTGTGTGTGTAGAGATCTGTATTAGACTGTACTACAGGATGAAAGAGGCATGATATAGAATGCGTCTCTGAAAACTAACAATTAATAATTTTCCAAGGGAGTAAAATGCTTCCTCGCGATGTTATAAACCGTTGTGCAGTGTTTTGCAATCTGATCAGCATTCAAACTCATGGATCTATTACTACAACTTTTCCAATGCATTTCATTGCCTCAACAGTACTTCGAACAACATCCCCATACCAATGCAGCCCCTAGAACTTTTTAAAGCATACCATACCATACCATAGGCCACACAATGAATCTTACATATTTACACTTATTTACAAAGAAACATTGTATGGTTGAAGCTCCAGTCTTTTTTTTCACACTTTGTTGAATAGGGACCTTTGTTTTCTGCACCTAAGATAGATCACCATTTGGAGTATTCATGCACAGCATGTTGTTTCTCAGAAAAATAAGTGACACAGGGGAAAAAGAAGCATCTTGTTGGAACTCGAATACAATAGTCTGAGTGGGAATGGCATTTGCAGTGATCCATTAAACCACATGTACTTCCCTTGATAAAACTCATTATGGATGTGTGTGGGAGCGAATATGTGCAATGTGCGGTGAGTGTGTGCGAGTATGAATGTTTGTGAGTAGACAGCTTTGTGGGATAGAGGGGCCTATCATTAAAAAATCATTTGTGCTTGTTAGCAGTTTGACAGGCAAAGTATAGGCAGCAGGACTCTGCATTATGCTGGTTGACTTTCCTTCACCCCACCGTGTAATTCTGTAAAGGATGTAAAACAGGCAGAACGTGTGGGCTTCAGTGCCTGCAATTATGTTGCTTTTTCCAGATCCAATAGTTTACAGTGCAGGCCACCCTCGGACATGCCATTTTGAGCTTTGGAGGGAGCACCAATTCAGAACAAGTCCTGATTTGTCCTGAAGTGCTGAACTAGTGAACTGATTTGCTCCTGGGTGGAGAATGCATCAAAATCAGGAAGCAAATGCCACTGTGCACGGTAGGTTCCCCAGCAATCCCCTGCAATAGCTGAAATTACTGTTAATAACAGTAAAAGCCTTATTTTCTTTGTCACAGCTAAAAAGAAATGCTAGAATTTGTGGCTAATAGCAGCCAAAATGTGTCATTTCTTAATATTTTCCATTTTCATTTGCATCCAATTCAAAATTCATCTGCACTGCACTTTAGTATCCCTGAAAAAATGAATGCCTCCTTTGTGTTTTCTTTTCTGTGAATTATAAATCAATAGTATATATATATTTATATATATATATATATATATATCCCTTCCTGATAAGAGCCTACGTGAAGAAATGTTTCAAGAGATACAGGAGAAAAAAAAGAGACAGGAGAGTCAGGAAAACGGTGGAAATGACAAAGGAGAGACAAGTTAGGACCCAACTTTCAGGGGTCTAACTGAAGTTGCTCTCCTGGGATCAAATTCTAACTGAAGTTGCTCTCCTGTGTCTCCCATAATCTGTCACGCTGTCTCTCCCTCTAGGTCCTCAGTACGAGACAAAATGCATTTGGAAAAATCATTGCTGCTTGGTGCACTGTTAAAAAGTAAAGGAGAGCGAAGGAGAGCTGGATTGCAAAACCAAAGACAAGACGGGATGATATTACAGTGTTTTTTTAATTTGTTAAATTTCTCAGTGTTCACTACTTCAAAACTCTCTGCACAGTTGTTTTCACACATCCAAAATGCTACAAATTTACCAAAATACTTAGATATAATGATACATCTGGTAATGCTACCCATTACCGGTGTTAGTAGTGTTTTTGTATGTGGTCTAACTTTCCATTTTTCCAAAATACAAAAAAACTACAGAAATCATTTCCATGCAGCCACCTATCTAACTCTTTATTTTATTTTTTATGTATTTCATTCAACCTGTTCATTTGTTTTCTAACTCATTATCATTGTGTTTGTGCTGATGTAACGTGAATTTCCCAATGGGGATCAATAAAGTCTTATCTTGTCTTATCTTACCTTACTAGAATACAAAATATGTGTTTATGTACAACAAATAACAAAATAACATATTATATAATAGGACATCTACTGGTGAGACAGATATAGAATAATAATAGAAAGTGCTTGTTGAGCACCCAAGGGGAAAGTCGATCAAAAATTAAATGATGCTATAATATTTTGACAATGTGTTATGTTGTGGTTAATGTGTGTGCCCCTTCAAGACTGTGCGCTGCTATGTTGTAGCCAGTGTTGCAGTTTGTTACGGTTTGGGTTTGTGTCTAGCATTACGTCCGACAGAAGACAGTAGCCTACAACATGGTAATTACTGAAGCAATCGCAATAAAAGTGATTTTGTGACAATCATCATTTGGGCACCCACGGGCAAAAACATAAATCTGCACCTATGATAGAAAGCTCTAAGCTCATCGGAGACTACAGTACAGATGGTCCTCCTCTCTGTCGTCTCGCCTCCAACCACACACACGCATACTCCTCTCACTCTCATAGCCACTATTCATCCTCTATCAGACACTTGTCTATCTATGCCCATATTTATGTAAATCACCTCTTC